GGAAAGGCTAGGCATGATCTATCTTACTTCAGGTAAATTTATCTGTTTTTCCCAAATTTCTTCACTTGGAAGGAGTCAAAACTCTGGTCTCGGTGATGGGAAAGAAAAAAAAAGAACTGATTTTCTGTATGAAAAAGAGCCTAAGTGAGGCTGTAAGAAATTGAATTGCTTGTTCATAGGCATCTGCTCTAACAAGCTGCACAAAAAATGGATTTCAAGCAATATTTGCCATCTATTAACCCAGTATTTTATTTGTGTGTGTAATGCTCAAACCCGTTTCGCGCAGTCTGCTCAAATATTTTGCATGAGATTAGGGCGATGACTCTGTGGGTGCTGGTAAGGACAGACATCTCGCTTGTGGCTTTATTTGTAGGTTTGGCCGTTCAGCCACCGGAGCAGCCGGCGGGAGAGGGGGCCCCGGCAGCAGGCACAGGCGGCGGCGGAGAGGTAAGGTGATGCCGCAGCCCTCCCTTCCCCGTGGTCCCCAGGCCCTCGAGACCGCATATGGGCTTCTTCTGCGTTGCTGGTTTTCCCCAGGACAATTTCCCCGTTGCTTTCTGCCATCATACGTCTTCTGCCCATCAGTGGAGCCCATCAGTATTCCCATTTTCAGGAGTTATTTGATCACACCCTGAGCTCATGGGTTCTCACTTTTGCCACTTCCTTTTTCAGGACCAAGAATTTGCCGTGAGTGACAGATCGGACAGGCTAAACTGCTGCTTGATTTGGGCCTGTAATAGTTTAATGTTATCCTGTGGTTTTATCGTGACATGGAATAGCTTTTTCCACTGGTTGCAGCCATGCTTTAGAAGAGCTTTAGCTAACAAGTTAGACTTTTCCATAGATTTTTAGATAGCAAGCTAGATTTTTCTATAGATTTTTCTATATTTAAATTCATTCTTTTAATTTTTGACCTATTCTACCTGCAATGTCCTTTTGAAGCCCTGGATCAAAGGTCTGTCTCCAGAAGGACAACCTCTTGTTGCCCAACATGGAATTTCCTTTACAATTTCAGCGCTAAGACCTTTGGCTGCCGGCTCCGCAAGCCCCGCAGTACGGCACGCACCCGTACTCCCCAGTTTTCAGCATCTCTGAAGCTCAGACTGTTCTCACCATGCCCGAAGCTCCCAAAAGTCTCAGCTTGCACCTACCAGCCTCCACCAGCCATCCCCCACCAGTGCTACTGCTTGGCATCCCAAAAATGATCCCTGCTAATCTGACTGATTTCATGGCTGCACATCGGGGCGGGAGGCAGACCTGGGAGCGGAAAGTAGGATGCTGCAGCTGGTGGCAGCCCGGCCTCGCGTTAGTTCAGCTCCCACCACATGCAAAATCACCCCCTCGTTTTCCTCAAGGGTCTGAGTTACGGCGGGAGCGTGTCTGGTTCCCAGAAGGAAGGGATAATTCATTTATTTTCTGCACCACATACAGTCATTGCTATGTAGCTTTTGACAGTTTTTTTACGTGGTGGCTACCAGCATTGATTTTTCTCCTGATTTTATGAATAGATGTTTTCCACTGGCAATACCTAACTGTTTTCCTGTCTGTCTTCTCTCACAGGATGAAAATGATGGCAATTAATCAACTTAGGGACTTCTAGCTCACAAGAGAGCATTCCAAGAGCATACATGGAAATATTAGCTGACACTACAACAGGAAAATCCCTCTTTCCATAAACTAACTCAGCTCTACAGTCCTTCACCTCCCTCAGAAACCGATTGTACAATGTATGTAAGCCAGACTCTGGTTGTAAGTGAAGTGCAGCCGTACCAGGGTGCGTGTCTCCCTCCCCACCTCCCTCGTGGCTTCCCGACCCACTCGCTTTACGTGTTTTGGTTGGATTCAGCGATCCGTGTCTCGTGTCCATCTGCACTGGCACCTGGGATCTCTAGGTATCGTGGAAATATTTTTTTTTAACTAATAAAAAAGTGTTTGAAAAAGCTTTTTGTTTTGTCAGTTTTATTTGCACATTTCAGAAGGTGATCCTGCCAAACCCACAAACTCTTCCTGTGAAAGTGTGATATTAAAATACAGGGATCTCAGGACTGTGAGGGCCTTAGATCATGATGTGAAAGACGGGAGAGAATGAAAAATTGTATTTCTGAAGTCAATAGCGTAGGTAGGCCAGCTTTCTGTATCTAAAGGTTGAAAAATAGAGATTTCACTTTTTAAATATTCCCCCATGTTTAAGAGAGAGTATGGGGGGGAAAGATGGCTTTGTAAAGGAACATGGAAGTCATGTTGAGCTCGGTTAGCATTTGTTCTTTGCTGTTCATTCTGCTTACACCAGAGCTTGAAAACTTTATCCTGACGTCTTCTGGGTGTAATGAACAGCTAGAAGGCAATGAAAGAACCGTGAGGGGCACTGACCTGTTAGATCAGAACCGCGTTCCTGCTGGCAGGGCAGGCGGGATTCCCGTGAAACACGTGAGCCTGATGGTGCCGCGGGAGAACGGCCGGTGCGGCGCCAGTGCCGGGGCTGGTACCGGTTGCAGCAGGGAAGCTGCTGAGAGAGAGCAGTAGTGACCTTCCCGCCGTCACAGACGTAGAGAGCGGGAAAATATTGCTCCAAGCTCGCTGGAAATAATGAAGGAGGAGCTTAAAGCGCCTCAGTGAGTAGGGATCTAAAAATGGGGTCTTTTATTCACCCTACAGGCAGAGCCCCCGTGAATCCACGAGAAGCCGTATAAACTGTAGAGATGTAAGCTGCTTCCAAACCAGACTGTTAATCTTCGTTCAGCTGCATAATGATGCTGACTATTACAGGAGAGACTTGCTCTGGCGTGGAAGGATCTAGCACGTGTGGTATCAGCCTCTCTCACACATTAACAATACACGTAAAGCTTTTGCCTTGCAGAAACCGCAGGGTTTCCATCCAGAGCGGAGGTTTGATCTCGACAAGGCAAGCGAACGAAAGAGCCCTCGCAGAGATAACAAGGCCCCTTAAAGGAAGCTGTATCCGAAATGTGCATGCTCTCCTCCGATGCCTTTCAAAACCTCTGCAGAACTTGCCAGTTAAGTGGAATAACTAAAATGGGGGCCAAGGTAAGAGGGTGTAAAGGGCTGTGATTCTCATGCCCAGCAGCAGGAGGCTGGAGCCCATTCTTAGTGCTCGCTAGAGAGAGACAGGGAAAAACCCCTCCTCTCCAAAGCTTTGCTTTAGGGGGATACAAAAAACAGGGGAGGGAAGAGCCAGCCAGAGGAAAAGAGGATTTGGGCACCCTCACTAGCCACAGCACGTGTGGGAGGCAGGGGCAGGTATCGGCTGGGCCAGGCTGTAACTCCAAGCGAGGAGCAAGCCGCTCCCCAAGTGCCCGTCTCTCAGGGAGGCTTCGCCCCTGGTTCAAAAGGCTTTAAACCAGGAGAGAAGGGCGATTGCTGAGCCCAGCATGCAGGCATGCTGCTGCGCCATAGAGCTACGTAGCTGCGTCGGGGAGAGGCTTGCAGCACCCTGCATCCGTACGCTGTGCTGCAGCTTCTTCCCTGTGGGAAGGGGGGGACTTAACTGGTATTTACAAACCTACATCTAGGACTGCGAGCCTAAAACCACTGCTCAACTGTTGCCTAACATAGTGCTGCTGAAAAAGTCCAAATGTGTCCCAAAGCTCTGCCTCTGCATGTGCCTGCTTCTCACATCCCTGAGCACTGTTTTGTGCCCAGGCTGGCCGGGAGCCCAACACTTCCCCGACATAGCCCCAGCCTAGGTCTGGTCTAGTCCCGTTGCCGTCAGACTCGGAGGAGTGCTTATCCATCTTGCACAAGGCAATCGCGAGCCTTCAAGACAGCGCTGAGGACATGTGGCTTCCTCCCGCGTGAGCATCCTGCATCAGTCAGCAGGAGTAGCATAGCGCTGTGGTGCTGAGGCTTTCGTCTGCATTGAAAGGCAGCTTATTTTAACCGGTTCATAAGTGCATTGCAACCCTAACACATCACAAGAAGATACTCTGTGCTGGTAATAGCCTATCAGAAAAGAACTTGGATTAAAACTCAGCTTTCTGAAGGTCAGACAAAACCCTGCCTGCACGACTTTGCGCAGGTCTGTTAGCAGTACAGAGTTTCCCTTGTCAAGCTTTGGCACTGCTTTTTGGGGTGGATTCCAGCATGGGAGGGAAGCAACCTCTGTAGCTCTGCTTCTCAGCTTTTCCTCTCCCAGGGACCCCCAGGTGGGGTGGGCAGCATGGTCGTGTGCCAGAAGGGTAGAGCCACGGCGCTTCTTCCCCTCGGCGTGCCCAGAAAAATATACAAAGCTCTCCTGTAGACCTTGCCCTCGGCTTACATCCCAGCTCACATCCTCAGCTTTCCTTTTCTCTCCTGGGATAGGACCAGTTAT